TACAAGTGACTACACCCTCCTTGAACACTACTCACATTCATCATTCTTTTTGCACTTTGCTTCTTTTTAAACCACATAACCTTTATTGATATCTAGTTACCAACATAGAACCACCTTAAAGTACCTCTCTAATTTTCTCAAGACTCCATACCTTTTTCTTTTTAATTTTTTTAATTTTTGTATACAACTATTTTCCTTTGGAGCTTGAGTATCTTCATATAAACAACTTTGAGGTATACGTTTCTACACACAATATACAACCTTACCGATTTCCAAATTAACACCAATACCCCCAACTTAGGATTTTACCATTATTTTAATATTCAAGGAGGGACGGGTTCAAAAGAGGGAACTATTTCACAAAAGGGTAAAGGTTTGTAATGAGGTAGCCAAAGAAAAGGTTAAAGGCTCAAATGGGGTAAACTAGTGATAATATTTATGCAATGGTAGACTCAAAAGGCTAAAGAGGTTTTTTCAAAGAACACAAACAATGCCTAAGGTCATCTCTCCAACCAAACATAATTAACATTAGCATTGAAAGACCAACCGGGCAAGTTCTAGATGATAGAAGTAAACACAAGAATTATTTTTAACAAAAACTAACACACATGGCACATGAACTAATCAAGACGGATCAATTTCACTTCTTAATAAGAGCATTTAGAGCAATATCATGTCAACTAGTGAGCAAAGAGTCACCAAATGAGCCAAAAAGTTATTACAAAAATTATTCTTCCCCGTGCTACTTACTTTTTCAATTTAAAACTAAAATTTGGAGGGGTATTCTTAATTCACACTTCACATACAAGAGACTAATTTTATTAGTACCAAACAATCCAAAAGTATCCACCTAACAAAACAAGACTAATTCTCTTAAGAAAGTCGTCAAGCCATCCATTATAGGAAAAAGTCACCCGGTTCAACACAAAATTATTCCTCGGGAAAGAACCGTAGCATAATAGAAACCCAAGGAAGTACTACTAAAGAGATAAAAATAATATAAACTAAAACTATTAAAGAAGATAAAATAAACACTAAAGAAATAAATATAAAATAACAAAAGCAATTAATACTAAAGGAACAAAAATAACATAAGCTAAAAACTACTAAAGAAAATAAATAAATAAAGAAAAATAAAATAGAATAACAAAAGTGACTAATCTGCAAATGTATAACCAATCACAACTACGCTCGGCAATAGCACATGATAAGTAATAATAAAATAAGCCCGGCAAGGGCACACAATATCCATAACACAACATAAACCCGACAAGGGCACTAATTAAGCATCAATGTACGAATAAAGTATACTCCCTAAAGCCACCCCCAACTAAAAACACTGTAGTGTCCTCACTGCATAATATCAAAATAAAAATAAAAGTAGTTTGAGGGTCTCCCTGAGGTCTGCATCATACTAGCAGACTGCGAGAGGAAGGCTAATCACTGCCGTGAAGAACTCTCTGCCTCATCATCATCTGTATCATCAGCACCATCACCATTCGGCATGAAGGAATACTCCTCGCTATCATCGTCATCCTCAACTGGTATCTTCCTGTCCGGCTGCCCCCATTTGAAGATGGCCTTGATGCCTCTCCACATCTTGATCATAAACTTTCCCTTCTTCTTATTTTTCACTTTCTCCTTTTGGAAGTCTGACTGAAGAGCTACATGTGCCTTGGCCATGTTTCCATAGGCTGCCTCGAGTCTGCTAACAGAAGCTGCCAACTTCTCATGAGACTCTGCTTGCTTCTTCTGGTTATCCAGGTAGGTCTTCATTTCTTCCCTCGTGAAATACTCGGGCCTAGGCTGGGGGTGTGTGATAACTAGGGATTCTAGCCTATTTTATGCTCCTTTTGCTTAGGTTTTACATTAAAAATGTGTACAAGTATTCCCAAAAGCTAACTTATTGTGCTTGTTTGCAGTGTTTGGTCAAAAAGAGACAAGAAAGTCATAACCAGCTCATAAAGGAGTGAAACCTGCACAAGTTCAAAGCTGAGTCAAAAGCACTGACTGCGAAGAAATAGTGCGGCCGTAGAAGGTCCACCGCTGAGGCATTCTTAATTACGCTCTCAGCGGACATGAGGTTCAGAGACAACAATTTTGGCTCAACAGTCACTGCTGCCCGCGGTGAAATCGCGCAGCAGCGGAATTCTTGGACGCGGCCGCGGTCTAACTTTCGTCCTCAGCGGAATTGAGAATCAGAGGACTAGATATTGGAGCTCATTTGAAAAGCGCGTTCCGCGAACATATTTCACGGGCGCGGTTGAAGGTAGCGCTGAGGTGGTTGATTTTCCGCTCCTAGCGGAATCAAGTTCAGACTAAGCTCAGAAAAGAAGAACCGCGGTCCGCGCTTGCTCTTGCGCGGCCGTGGAAGTCCAAGAGCTGAGGCGACCAGATTTCCGCTGTCAGCGTAATCTCCGTAGGGGCAATTTTGTCCGAAAAATTTAGCTGTGTATAAATAGTTCTTTTTTAGATTTTTAGGGTATCTGTTATTTTTGGAGAACGTGAACAGCCGCTTTTTGCTTTTTAGAGTAATTTTAGAGTATTGTTAACTATTAATCTTATATTTTACTCTTGTAATTACTTCTTATGGCTTCTATTTCATCTCAATCTTTGATTTCTTCCTTGATTATGAGTAGTTAAACCCATTAGTTAGGGTTGTGGCCCAACCCTAGTGTAGGTATTTAATGGGTCTTCAATTTTAGGGCTTAAATATTTATGGGTTAATGATATTTAGCTTGTTTCATGCTTTAATTGTTGAATTGATGGTTGCAAACACTGATTCGTGCCTATTTGACTTAGACTCTTCTTGAAAAAGAGAGACTAAGGCCTCATTTGTTTTTTTAAGATTAAGACGTCTGAATCTGAATACACATCTGAATATCAAGATGTGTATTAAGATTAAGACATCTGAATCTGAATACACATCTGAATATATTAAGATGTGTATTAAGATCTGAATACTAAATAATTAAGACTGTTTGATTTTTAACATCAGAATGTATAAAATTTATCTTTATTTAAAAATTAATAAACATAAAATTCAAATAAAATACTAACTAATCTAATATTATATCAATAAAATATATAATTTTTTAAAATATGATAGTTGTTGGTGGTGATGGCTAAAGGTTGAATGCTGACTAGAGGAGGTGGTTGGTGGTAGTTTTGGTTGATGATGATGGTTCATGCTAGTAGCTAGTAGTGATTGGTAGTGGTGGCGATTATGATTGAGGATGGTGGTGGTAATAGTTAATATGGTGGGTGGTGGTAGTAGTTATGACTGAGGAAGGTGGTGGATGGGTGGTAGTAGGTTATAATGATGGGCAGTACCGGCTGTGGTTGTTGATGGTGATGGGGTGGTCAGTTGTGGTAGTTGAGGTGGATGAGTGTTGATTGTGGGTGAGAATGATGGTGGTCGGAGTGGTGGGGATAGTGGGTAGTGATGGTCGATAATGGTGGCAGCTATGATTGAGGATGATGGTGGCGTGGTGGTGGTGGAGGTGGTGATGGTGGGGTGGTGGTGGCGGCGGCATGGTGGTAGTTGATAATGGTAGGCGGTGGCCGCAGTTAGTAATGAATATGTGATAGCATCTTTAATGAAATTAAATCCCTGTTATAGATCTTAATCATACAGACCTATTCAGACCCATTAAGTGGTTGTGAAGTAAAAAAAATACACTTAATGATCAAGATCTGAATAATTAAGATTCAGACTTTAAAAACAAACGCACTTTATGTCCGTGATCTGAATGATTAAGATTCAGACCTCCATTAAGTGCAAACAAATGAGGCCAAGTCTAGGAAATTCAGGCTAACAAGGAATTGGGGTGCATTCAAGAGATTGATAGCCCCAATTAAAGGGTTAAACCTAGAGATAGTAATACCTGACTTGAGCTAATTTTGCTTGCATTGTTTGAACACCCAATTGGGCTTGAGAAAGCCAATTCGGGCAAAGTCACTCAAACTACCAAGAGGTATAGAGTGAGTAATTATGTGCAATGGTTATATCATGATCCCAATTATGACAAGTTCGCCCTAAGTCTTAGACCCCGTTAGATACTCACCTAGGTGAAGGTCACTTCCCTAGTGCCTTTTTACCAATTGAGAAAACTCTCACAAAAATATTGTACTTAGCTTACTTTCATTCTTTATTAGTGTTAAAAGTAGAATACACTACAAGAAAAACGGCCTTTAAGGAAGGGAAATACGGTCCCTAAAAGTAAAAATCTGGTCCTAAAAGGGTAAATTGCGAAGGGAAAAGGCTGGTCGTAACCCGTCGTAATAGCCTCCGTCGCTAAATGTCAATAACGACGGGACTTAATACCTGGTCGTTAAATCACTTTAGCGACGGACAAAAAAACTGGTCGTAAATACTTTTAGAGACCACATTTCTTGTCCCTAGTAGGCGGTGAATAAAAATTTATTCCCGTCGTGAAATCTCTTTAGCGACCAACTATATCTGGTCCTAAATTTCCTTTTAGAGACGGACAGAAAACCTGGTCGCGAATAACATTTAGAGACTACATTTCTCGTCCCTAATAGACGATAAAAAATATATATATTCCCTTCGTTAAATCTTTTTAGCGACCAACGCCAACTGGTCCTAAATTATCTATTAGAGACCGACAAAACATCTGGTCGCTAAACCATTTTCGCGACCAACCTTTAACTGGTCCTAGATTATTTTTAGAGACAACGTCCCTATTTAAAATAATTTTGTAATTTAGCGAAATATTCATGGTCTATTAATAACCATGAGTAGTCCTAAAAGCTCAATGCAACAAAAAGTAATTTTCATCAATAAATATCAAATTGGTATTAAAAAATCCAGATATAAAAAGATAATATATCAAGTTCATATCCCATGATGATGTTACTTTCTATGTTTTCTCAACACCTCAACAAAAAAAATGTAGCTAACATCCTGAGGTAGACTATGATATCAAGTTTTGCATAACATTTTTAGCAAAATAATAATAGCTTGTGCATCTCCTAAACTTGCATCTTGACTTGTAGCTTCAATCTTCAAAACCTGTAAGTACAAAAGTTTTTAGAATAATAAATAACTATTGGTAAATAACATATACAATTTTATATGAGCAATAGTTAAATCGCTTACCCCAAAAGCAGTCTAAATTCACAAGGTGTTATCCAGCAACATCAACAAGGCTACAACAATATTAAAAAAAATTAATTAGAAAAGCTTTGGGATGGATTTAATTTGTCCATCAGTAATAACGCGCACCAAAAGAAATTCTAAATTTAAAAACTAACTTGAAATTAATAAATAAAAAATGAAAAGAAAAAAAACAAAAAAAAATGAACTTGAAGAAAATGAAGCATAAAGAAGGGCATGCAAGCGTGGAAGCAGTGTAAGAAAAAAGAGTAAGCAATGGGAGGAGAAAGCTTCTGATCGACACCAATTTGCTTTTCCCACAACAAGATTTTTCATTCTATATATGTTCAATAGTTAACTGAACAAATAACAACATGGTATGCTTCTGTTCCAGTGCAAAATGAAGCAAGAAGTGGGAATTTCAGCAAGAACCAGGTTCTAGTTCCTTTAGGATAGTTAGTCCCTGAGGTTTAGATATTCTTAGGTCAGTATAATCATAAGGATAAGGTCAGCTATCAAGTTTTCCTTGAGAATATCCAATAAGATTTATGGTAACACTTCATTCAGGCTCACTACACCAACACAGTTTTTCCTGTCACCGCCTTGCAGAACAGGAAGCTAGCATTTAGTTATAATCAATGTTATTTGGTGTAATGAGAGTCTACTTGTTTGAAAATGCTATTATACATTAACATGTCGAAATGCTTTTGTTCACTGCTTAGTAGTGAGGGACGTTGTGATAGTAAACCAGGACGGAAGTATGAATTTCAGCACCATAACTGATGCTGTTGCTGCTGCTCTAAACAATTCCATGTCCACTTCAGGCTATTTTCTAAAATACATTACTGCTGGTATATACGAGGAGTATGTCTCCATCGCCTAGACTACCTTGTGCACACTTCGACAGTTCTAACTATCACTTCAGAGTATCTTTTTCATGCTAAAAGATAAAAATGCATTCACATGCCACGACCATATGTTTAGCTATTAAGGACTCCATATATATTTGCATTTTAACCTTTTCCAGAAAGCCTTCTCCTCTGAATTGTACCTAAAGTTTATGCAGTATATTGTACCAAATTTTATATATATATAATGATTTAAAGGGAGATCAGGAAGGAGGTGGGGTATATTATTACTAACTTGGTCAGCAGACAAAATCAGAGGTCATTCAGTTGAAACGGGCGATGTCGTTGTAAGCGGGACATGTGATTGTTGAGAAGCAAAGTACTCTCTCATTTTCCTCATTTCTTTCATCTCATATTCTAAGGTAGACAAGCGCTCATTCAAGGATTTGTTTTCCTCATTCAAAGATTTATTTTCTTCTCGAGTTGAACGTAGCTCGGACAGTAATTCAGCCTTTGAAGAAGTTCCACCTTTCAAGTCTTTCGCCTTCACTCCACCCCCAAAGCCAAATACATGGCTACGAGTTTGAGGTCCACAATATTTTTCTACAATCTCTATGCTAGGTAGAGATGGATCTGCTTGAACTATTTCTTCGATTTGAGCCTACAAAATATATATAAAAAAACATTTGAAATCAGAATCCACCATAACTTCAAGTAATTTACATATTCAATTTTCCAAACATACATGTTTTTCAATTGCTTCAGGTTCAACAAGCTTGTTATCTTTCTTACGGGTCTCAAAGAAAATTGTTGCCAAATCCGGTGGGTTGCCATCTTTTCCGCCCTTTACATCATCAAAGGCAAACATGTCAAAGAATAGCTCGTAAATATTTTCTTAGGAAAATAAAAATTTTATGATAATACCTTTTGATAAATGATCTCACGAATAGGCTTACTACCAATATGATGAAGCATCTTCAACTGAAACTACACATCGAAACACATAATTCGATAACTCAAATAGATTATTAAATCACTAGGCATACCTGAAAACCTTTTGAAGAAAAATATTCCTTTACTAACCACTCCCATTCTTTCTTGTCTACTCCGTTTGGAATATTCTTAAGAGCCTGTTGGATTGGCTTATCTTTCACATATTTTGCATGCAAGTGTCCTCTCCATTTGTTCCATAACTCTTTCATCCATGCGAAGATATGATCACGATGATCATTCATGTCAACACTCTCAAATTTGTCCTACAATAATCAATACATGGGTTGAGTTAATGAATTAGTTCAGTTTTAGTAACTACTCATAATCATGTGATAGGAGCAACTCTCCAACAGTCAGCAATTAACATATAATATAGTTTCAACTGTTTCTCTACAGCAAGTAACAGTTGAATCAGTAACATTCTCCAAAAATTATACAGATAAGCACAAGCATGAAGGATGAGAGCATGATATGGGATATTGTACTATTGCAGCCCCTCATTATCTCCCTAATTTCCTCCACATGTGCAGCTACTGCCCAAGGTGCATTCCATGTACCTTCAGCTGTAGTCACCTCACTCACTCAATCGTATAGTGGTAACTCAAACATTATTGAGGGTCTAGTGTTATTGAGAGTAAAGGGTAGGGAGTGGAGCCTAGTGTTATTGAGAGTAAAGGGTCAATCAGAAGGACTAAAGACAAAAATTTAAGGCGCGTGTTGTTGGCATTAGGCTATATTCCAGCTACCAACTTTTCTACCTCTGAATGGTGGGCGTGGATAGAAATAGAAAGGAATACATTTGACTAAATTCCCCTATTGGAAATTAGAGAACCATTTGATAAACTCTAGTTCAGGGTTACACAACTCTCTACTTAATGGAGCCTAGTATTTTTTCACTTGAGGACAATTCGAAATTCTGAAAACGAACAATACTATAGTTTAGTAGGCCTTTCATGGACTTAACTGGTAAGGAAACATGTTTACTCAGAAGAAATCAATCTCAAAATAATTATCAGTAGCGCCTGGGACCTTTGTTGCTGGTGCACTGAGGACATCATGTAGCACGAACGGCTTTGGTACATCAGGAGACTAGCACATCGGATAAGTGCCCAATTCACCTCACTAATCAGCAGCATATTAGCAGTTCATCCCTATTTATGAAAATATAAAAATATGCAATTCCTGATTCAAATAATCGATATTGCACCATTTCCAAGTCCGCTAGGCAGATACTGAAACGCCACGAGGAAGAAATATAGGTGGTATATGATAACCTCCCAAAGTACTGTACATGCTGTAAGCATCAAGGACATGATAAAAGTTCATGTCGATCGATACAAGGAAGAAACAGAGAAGTCAATGAAAAAAATACAGTGCACGTTGATATGAATGGTGTGGAGCTGAGTAATGTCGAGCAGTTAAAAGGTGATGCTAGGGAGTTGTTGAATGCCAAAAGAGCTGCAAATAAAATTCAAGAAACTGCAAATATTAAGGTGCAACCAGCTATGAAACTAACAGGTTATATCAGAGATCGAGGAGGTGATAATGATTCAAATAGTGAGGCTAATGTAGTTTATTCAAATAGTGAGGCTAATGTAGTTTCTGTTGATCGAGCATTAGCCAGAATTAACACAGCTTTGGAGCCACATGTGGTGAAGGTTAATAACATTGACAAGGTTAGTGGTGAGAAGGAGGAGGAAATAGTTGGGCAGGTGATTAATAATCCAGGTAGAGCTGGTATCTTTTCATCAAAAATAGGTGAGGAAATAGCTGGGCAGGTGGTTAATAATCTAGGTGAACAAGCTGATATTGCAGCAGGTTACAAAGCTAATGTTGCGAATGATAAGGGGCATGAACATATATGTTTTGAGGCTTTGGAGTATGCAGCTGCTACAGCTTCTAAGGCTGAGAATATGAAAAATTCTAATGGAGGTTTGCAGGCTAATACTAGAGTTTTGAAACATACTGCTGCTACAGTTCCTATGAATCGAGCTATAACCAAGATTACAGGTGATATTTCTTCTACTGTAGAGAGAGGTACACAGGCTGTAGAGTCGACTTTACACGCCACTGCTATGGTGGATGCAATTGGTATTAACAATTTGGTGCAACAAGAAGTCAGCACAGTTGGTAATAATCATGCATTAATAAGGGATGTTGCTACAGAAGTTGTAGGTAATGCACCAGCTGTTGTGAAAGCTAAATTACCAGCTGATGCTTCGGGCAAATCTGTTATAGAAAAAGGTCATGTGACTGTTGGTGTTCCTACAGGTCCTGTTGCTGGACAAAACTCTAAGGAAGTTGGGCATCAAAAAATAGTAATTGATTGTTCCATTGCTGGTCCACAAACAGCCCTGTTGAACCTTGCAGTAGCTGATCTAGGGGAAAAATCAACAACTGATATAACTACTGTTGTACAAGATGTAGGGTTGGAAAAAAGAGCTGGACAAGTGCTTGATCCAGGGCAATCTGGTGCAAATCCAGCTGAAGAAACTGCTGTTGTGAATGCAAGTTTGGAGACTACTAATGTGGTGAATGGAACTGGTGTGATCAAGGAGATAAGGGCAGAAGACTGGACAAATATGTCCAGTAAAAAGGGCACTCCAAAAAATAGCAAAATGCAGCAGGATGGCTCAAGAGACAGTACATGTGCACGAAGTAGTACAAATCTGTTTGCTGCTCTTGCTAATGTGAATGACGAGGACGGGATGGCTGATGTTCGTGTACCTATGTCCACTCCCTCCAAGCTGCATTTTTCCAGTCCTCATGTTGAAAAAATTATCAAGGACGCCCAGAATGCAATGGTGTTTAATAACACTATGGTGAAGCAACCATTGGTCACGTTGAACACCTCCGTGTTTGAAGTACCATCACAGTCTTTGGAGTCTTTTGGTGAATATGGAGGTGAGTTGATGTTGTCATCCGGAAATAACAATGAAGTTATAAAGGCAAATTTGAGGGGGATGGCAATCGATTCTAAGCTATGGTCAGACCAACGCGAGTATGATGATGAGGAAGATTATGGTAATGCGTACGTTGGAAATTCGAGTGAGGATGATGCTCAAGAGAGTGAAGATGAAGGCTTACTCTCAGTTGGTTCACCATCTTTACCAAAAATAGGCAGTCCTGCAATGGCAATTTCCAGCAGCAAACTAAACGCAAAAGCACCAGTTTTTGTGCCTAAAACTGGACAGCAACAATGTGGAATAACTACAGCAGGTGATTCTCTAAGAAAAAATGCAAAACCAAGTAGACCCAAGCAACAGGGGAATACTACAATCACACAAGCAGCAAACTAAACGCAAAAGCACCAGTTTTTGTGCCTAAAACTGGACAGCAACAATGTGGAACAACTACAGTAGGTGATTCTCTAAGAAAAAATGCAAAACCAAGTAGGCCCAAGCAACAGGGGAATACTACAATCACACAAGCTATTACCTGTGTGGAGGAACAAAATATAACAACCACATTGAACTCAGCAATGTCATAGCAAATTAGAACACATTCAAACAAACAAAAGCGCATCATAAAACATTGAGATATACAACTAGGATTGCAATTGCCCAAGCAAACAGAATACCAAACTCGAAAACAAAACATAGGAGTCAGATATCTAATAGCCATTTGATCACAACAAATGCGTATGGAATCCACTAGTCCAGAACACCAAAATTGCAGTAATTTGAAACTGCCACTCAATCCAAGTAATGACAAAGATGTTTTACACAATATTTTTCTACAATCCACCTATATAACTAAACGCCTAATGTTCAACTTATGTACCATGTTTTCATCTCATTCATTGCGATTATTAAGAGTTCTCTGTCTGAGCTTTTCATCTCAACTTATGTACCAGCTTTTCACTAAACACAATTAGCGATTCACGAAGGTGCTTTCGGCACTCTTCTATAGCACACAAACAAGACTGCTAGTTACAGGGATTAGTTAATCCATGGCAAAGGCAGAAACACACATCAACGAAGCAAAAGAAGGCAAGTAAAATCTGCCGCTGAGGATACCGAATCGCAATTTTATATAAACTTCAAAAAATTACATTATCAAACTAGGAATCCCAACCCAATAATCTTTTCACTGATTTTGTAAAAGAAAAAATACCAAAATATGAAACCTTACCAAATTTTTTATGTTAGAGAAGAAAAAGAAGATCGAAGAACTCGAATAAGCGAATCAATAAGCAAAAAGAGAAACTCGAAAGAGGGCTATACCACGGATTCTCAACGAGCGAAATGGAAACATGGAAATATTCACACCACAAGATTCACAACTTGTGTTTAGAGAAAACACAGTAAAGACGACGGGCAGAGCTTGGCGGAAACTAAGGCTGAGCTTCGACTTGTGTTTCATAATACAGAGAGTTTCGCGGATTCTCAACGAGCGAGATGGAAACTTGGGCAAATTCATACACCACCAAATTCACAACTTGTGTTTTGAGAAAACACAGTAAAGGCGACGGGCAGAGCTTGGCGGAAACTGGGCGGAGCTTGCACGCGGAAAGTAGCTAGGGCAGCAGTCGCGATTAGAATACAGAGAGTTTAATTTTTTGACTTTTTAAAAAATTTTATTTCAATATAGGAGTATTAGTTTTGGCGCCTGATTTTTCACAAAATAATAGTTTTTTGATATTTTGGTATTGGTTTTGGCGGCACACTGTCACGCTCAATGTCCCTCAATTATTATATGGGACCAGTTATTACTTTTTTTAGGGACCGGATTTATTACTTTCGTAATAAAATATAGTATTAACGACCAAAATATTATCTCGTCCCAATAAATATATTTTTTGCGACCAGATTATTAACTCGTCCCTAAAAGTTGGTCATAAATAAGGCTTTTTCTTGTAGTGATAGTAACCAAACAAAGCATGATTGGAAGTGCAATTAAGAACGTCGCACATAGCTAGATTAGATAGAAACCCAATTCCAAACCAATATTAGCTCTCTGTGGAAATCGATCCTGACCCCT